CAAGGCATTAAAAAAATTTTTTTAAATTAAATAAATTATTAAATAAAAGATTTCAGTAATTATGTCTAAATGCCTTTGTTGCGTGAAACGCAAAATGTGGAATATAATAGCGAGGAGATTTGCGAAAGCACTCAATAATAGACCTAAATAAAGCATTTGTAAAATTCGCAATAACTCCTAAATCATCTTGTTGAGTTTTGTCACCACTATAGTTATAACGTCAACATCCTTTTGCAATTGCGCCAACCACATGTGTGGGTTGAAAGTCTTGCTAGATTCTTTCAGTTCGTATCTGATTTCTTGCATTCGTTTCATAAGTTGAATATCATGTGAGGTTTCTTTCAATTTTCTCGGTAAAATTTGAAAATTGCAAAATTTGCATTATCGTTAAGCCCAAAAGGAGATTGTAGTCGATTAAAGCAACAATCAATTCAGTGAGACCACAAAAAAACCTTTCCAACACTTAACTAATGTCGTTGGTTTTTGGGCAAAAATTCCCTTTTCCCGTTCCATCCAGGTAAATATAGAGAAGTACAATTGTAAAGGAACTTAAACCTATTTTCTGCAACAATTGTTTATGGGTTCGCTACACAATGTCATAATATATATTCTTAATATTCACTTGTCTGAAACACCAAAGTATGCTTTTAACATCCTCGAAAAAGCATTACACCGACATATCTCCTCACAAATGTACTACATCTATTTTGATGGCAAGTCGCTAACATATATGTGTATCAGACGTGCTATTTACGATTTCTGATTATTACAAACGGAGTGACAAAATCAATATCGTGTATAGATAATTTTGAGAAGACGTGACTGATTGTGGTAAAAATACTTTAATAAGATGGCGTAAAAACTTTACCGTTTTTTATTTTCTTTTTTTAGCACAACGATATTGACATACAAAAACAATTTCACATAAAATTTTAACAAAAAAAAATTCAATGAAATTCCTCTATTTCTTAGGATGGAATCGATTTTATTATTAGTATTACTACAATTTTAGACTAATGAAATAAATTCTTAGACTAAAAAAAAAGACATTGAGCATTAGCAACACAGGCTATCGGCTCTAATTTATACAAACGTACACCAGATATTGAGCCTAGTAATTTTAATAAAATAATATATTGGATTGATATTCTGTTCTGAAGCTGATTTTAGAATATCCAAAGGGTTAATCGTTCCAATACTTCTAGCCAAGGCAGTTAAGGCAGTCGCAGAGAACCCATTGGTGAGTTGTAATGTATGACTAAAGCGAATTCTCGAAAATGTTTGGATCTTGGTTTTGTCAACATTTGTTGGATATAAAGGTGAAGTAAATTGAGGGTTAATGGAAGAGTAGTCTTGATGATGGTATTGTAGATTTCCTTCTGTAATTTTCTCTTAAACTTTTCTTCCAATGTATCTTTGAAGATCCAACTATTTCATGACATCATTCATAATTAGAGGAGCATAAGCAGCATACTTTGCCGCTCGATCAGCCTGCTCATTTCCCAGTAAACCGATGTGACTTGGTACCCATAACATTTTAATTTTTCCGTCGGGTGTAGTAATTATATTCCTTAATTTGTTGATGGTGCTCCATCTCCAAGTCGAAGGATTCCGAACAGCTTGTATCACAGACAAACTGTCAGTAACAATGACGGTTTTGAGTTTGTTTTTATTGGCAAGGTTCGCAGCGTGAAGGATAGCTCTGGCTGGTTGTGAAAGTTGAAGTACTTTCGTGAAATATGTGATTGAGAAGAACCTGTCCAGAGGCAGACAAGAAGATTTTGAGCCGTCTGTGTATAAAAGATTCCAACCAGTGCTCTCCAGTACTTGGGTTCTTTCAGCTATTACATTCCTGAAGAAGTAATTTGGAGTATCTTCTTTGTTGTCCATAGACAGCGAAATGTCAAAAGAGTAGCCTTTCAAAATCCATGGAGGTCTAACACCAAAATAGCGATAAATTTTTAAGGGAATGTCCAATTTCTTTGCGATGTACATACAATATTCAATTGCAGATGGTGACTTTTGAATTTTCTTCAGCACGCTCAAGCCACTCGCGCCATGGATATTATGGAGCTGACGATGGTTTAGATTAGCTGCGTCCTATTATGTTCACCGCATTGTTAGTTTGTAAATGGTTTGCATTTTATTTTAGTGCCCGCCTCAGCAATTATATAAAATTGATAATAACATTCTATATATTGCGTTTTCTGAAATTGCCATTATTTTTTAATATTCATCAAGGGTAAAGAAAATTTACAAATTCTTAATAGTACATGATTTTAATAGAGTGGCTTAGGAATTTAGTTTATTCAATTTTTCAAATTTCTGTATTTTTTTCCGTCACAACCAACTAAGAAAAAAAGGAAATCGTCGGTTATACCTTATATAAATTGTGGTATAGGTATATTGAGAAGTAGAACAATCCAAAAAAGTTTTTATTATGGTGACGGGTATAAGTTTATCTGTCCATATGGTTTTGTGTTCAACCTACGGGTCTCACTTTTTGACATATTTTGATGACAACTGGTACACTTACTTGCCCAAGGGCGCAAGCTATAGAGATTTCGACTTCTGCTAATGTAACGACTTATTTTGAAAAATAGTTTATAAGTTTTGGTGTATTATATTCAAAACGAATGAATAATTGTGTTAAGCGAAATGGTGTAGGATATCTAACAGATGGCCTGAGCTCGCTCTGATATCCTTCCTGAATATTTATCTTTTCTGCACTATGTATGTGTTTTTATCTGTATCTTTTGGTCAAATTCATTATCTTCCTATTGATCGATTATTGAGCATTTGATTATAATATGAGCTACCGACAGCAGCATTTAGAAGGTCCCAGATCATAATTATTGCTAATTTTGGAAAATATTATCACAAACAAACCGTTACCAGCAAAAATGTGCGCTGAATTTGGCCATGTCTTCCTCGATAAATGTGGCAAACTTGTAAATGCAACTGATCTTATAAGACCCCCTTGTAAGGTTTGCAATACTGCTCCTGTTATTAGATCATCTGAACAAATGTTCATAGATTTACCGAACATTCAAAAAAAACTAGAAGGGTGGGTAAAAAAATTTGAATATGGTTGGACAAATAACGCCCGAGAGATAACTCGAGCGTGGTTGCGTGAAGGCGACGGGGAACTCCAGTACCACATCAGGGTGTGAGCAAAAGGTATTCTATTTGTGGTTTGGTGCACCATTCGGTTACATTTCTATGACCAAACGTTATACAAAAGAATATAAGAAATGGTGGCAACCTTCTAAAGGAATAGATGTCGAGCGTTATCAATTTATGGTTGAAGATAACGTAACCTTCCATTCGACAATGTTGTGCTTTTTTTCGGGCTTAACTATTTAAAAAAAATACAACAAAAACAAACGCGCGATTCTTTGAAAAAGTTTCAATATTGAAGACTGTTTATTTTTTAGTGTAGGATCTAAAGTTTCACCATTAATAATATATTGAATTTAGTCTGAACTCTATTACTTTTAACCTTCCGTTTGAAAATTTACTTGTAGGGAAGAAAATAGCAGAATGTATATATATTTATTTTTGTTTTGTTAATGGTGTGCAACAGTGATAATATGCGTTAATTCAATTAATACACAATTAACATTGCTTTAAGTCTAAAATAAAAATATAAATATATATGAAAATTACTTAATTATATAAATTTTATTTGAAAATACGACCATTTTTTTTCTTACATATTTTTAATAAAAAATTCCTTCAAATTGGTATAATTTAAACGTTCATTTAAAGTGAAGTTATCATTTCACGATGCTTGGCAAGATGGTTGCAAGAAAAAGATCGCGATTTTGTGCTGTAGTTATGGCGCACGTTCGTATAAAAAAACAATTTATTCAATTTTGGTTAGCAAAAGTTAGAAAGGTGGTTTTTATTTGGCTTTTGGAAGAAAAGACACCATGATAGCTTCTGGCTACCAATTGTTACTCTTTATCACAATTTGAAATTGCCTTTACCGAGTTGGAAAATTTTCTTTGGAATGACAGTAATATCGGCTGGGGTTGATGGAAGCACCTTATTAAAACTTTCGTACTAAATTAAATAAATAAAGTACATAATAAGTAAATTATAAATATGAAACTCGAAGCTGTTTAAATATTTTTTCACATTGAGCTCATTTGTATGTGTGTAATACAATTAAAGTCAAGTACATTTAAGCTATAAACACAAAAGAAGAAGATACACCGATATTTCATTGAGATTACAATATACAATTAAAACTTTTATTATTCGTTGCTTATAATGAGTGGAATTTTTTTGTTGATATAGTTTCGTGTATGTTTTACTATACACCTTTTATATTTATACATTTAAAATGTGTATGAGTAAAGATATCAACATTAAAACAAAACTGTATGAATTTGTTGGTTGTTCAGTGCTACTTGTTAATAAATTGTTAAAAATTTTCTTTGTAAAATATTTTCGGTTGTTTTATATACTTTAGATATATGAAAGCATATATATATATACTTATGTATATATATACGTGTGCTATATGATTCTACTGTAGATATATGAAAGTATATTGTATATTGTATTATTCTAAGAGGATTTTAGAAATGTGGGTTTCAGTATGTGAAAGCACTTTGTTAGGCGTATTTTTGTTCTTTCCTTTTCGTAAATTATATTATAGTCTTTAAACCTACTACATAAAAAAGATAAGGTAATATTTGAATTTATATTGTTTTTCATTCGACCTAATTTTCAGGATAATAGTGATTTATATTCAAATTATTCGAAAAATTTTTCTTTTTTTGATTAAAATATAAACTTAAAAATTTTAAGAAAAAATCGAAGAATTATTTTAAATAAGTTTAGACAACTTTAGAAAATACAGCTAATTTTTAAGGCACAAATGTTGCTTGTATCACGGAAGTAGAGAATAGTTTAGCCTGAAAATCACCATGTTAAAAGCTAAACATAAATTGCAATCTAACAAGTG